TGGGACGTGGGACGTGGGACGTGGGACGTGGGACGTGGGACGTGGGACGTGGGACGTGGGACGTGGAACGCGGGACGTGGAACGTGGGACGTGGGGACTTGGGGACGTGGGACTCGACGACGTTCTGACTCGGGGACGCGGAGACGCGGGGAGTTGGGACTTGGGTACTAGAGGAGGTGATAAACAAACAACACCTGATTTTTGCGCTAAATGTGTAAAGTACATTTTTCGGTGGTGGATAAGGCACGGATATTAAAGGTTTAACATGAAAACACAGTTACCAGGAAAGTCCTCCATGGCTGCCCACGAGGTTTACGACCTTTTCTGTGCCCAGAGCTCTTAGGGTAAAATAGGCATGTAAACATATCAGGCCGAACCATGGGCGCTGGAAATCATCAGGTACTGCTGACGTGCTCTCCAGCATATAATACCTTTTTTCGATAACTGCAGGACATAACAGGATAGGCGCATGAAAAAAGTGACGTCAATTTGTTAACTCGACACGACCGCAAATTGTACTTTACACATTCAGCGAAAAAATCAGGTGTTGTTTGTTTATCACGTTCCCGGGTCCCCGAGTCCCCACGTCCCCGAGTTCCCACATTCCCACGTCCCACGTCTTACGTCCCACGTCCCAGACCCAACGTCCCCGTCCCACTTTTAGTCACAGCCCAGTTTATCGAATATGAAGAGAAGAAACAACAAGATCCCTGACTCTTTCTAGCCAGTCCACCACAAATGCAAAACGAAACCCGTTGGTAAAATATTAGACAAGCTTGGAATCATATTTGAAACTACGGCCTTCAACACGGCTTTCTGTTCTCTTTTTCACTCTAAATCACCTAACTTAAGCGAAGTGAAAACCTTTGTCAACGCTTCTTCGAAGTCCGATTTGTCAACACTGGAGAATACACTAAATGCCTCTCTCCACTCCCTCAGGATTAGTTTCTGAGCATGAGCACATATACGGGGAAAAATTTCGCATGCGTTATCGGATGTCCGAGAGCCCTCCGTTCGCCGACCACGTGACCAAAAGAAACGGAGGCTCTGGGGACGAGAATGGTTTTGAACCAAACATAGGCGCATGTCTACGTGCTTATGTTTGTGTTGCGGGCGTCCTCACTTCTGTTGCGCTTATATTTGTACTTGTGTTTAAGTCGTAGTGAAAACCAGGCTTAAGTTAATCTAACTAGCCCTGGACTCACGTCGCCCAATTCTGTTTGGAATGATTCCAGAGCTAGCCCACCCTTCTGTAAAACGGCTTGGGATCGGCCACGGCTCCGAACCACTCTATCATCACCTCGATATGACTTTCCGTTTCTGTTATCCTCACTGCCCTAGGGATCAGCTTCCTCAACTGACATGTGCGGGTTCAGTTGTAGGAATGCTTTCCCATGATCGAGCACTTCGTCCCATTTTAATCATTTTGTAAAATGCTAAAATCTGGGCTAAGGCAACGGACGCCTCTGGAATTCTCTTCTTGCACTGGTTCCTGAAATATTATCCTGCTTCTTTTAACTCGCCATTGATGTCCGCTAACGCTGCTTCGTAACTAGTACGAGGGCGTACTACGCGTGTACAATTACCCATTATGTTCCGGCATGCAGGAAGTGCTCGCTGGTTGCATGGGAACGTTTTATTAAAAACAAAACAAACTGTCAAAGAATCATTGTTTTTGTTCAGCCCTCGAGAATAGCCGTGGGGCTTTCATTTCAAATAAAAAATCTTCAGATGTTCAGAGACCACCCCTGCTATCTCTGCCGCTTCTCATTTTATTTATTTATTTATTTATTTATTTATTTATTTTGTTATTTTAATTTAATTGATACAAATAACACATACATAATAAAAGAAAACTCTGATAAACACTCAAATATACAATCAGAAGAAACAGGAAAAACAGGATAACCTCTTTTGTTTTTTGCGGTTTTCCGCCCGATCTGATTTAACTGCTCCACGTACTTTATTTTATATTTGTAATGGCCAGCGCTTCTTTTCTTATTCAAACAGGTTAAATGTTCTATCTCTATAGCTCTAACGTGTTTTCACCCGAGGCGCTAGTTTTCCAAGTGCGATCAGACTCCAGCGGAAATGCGGAGCTGACTTTATTTGACGGCGGTTTCTTTTTAGCTACACAGACAGAACATAATTTACATTTGGTTAAAAACTGCAATATTCCGGCCAGTGGTTTTGTAAGAAACTGAAAAATCTCTGCACGTCACGATCACAGGTTCCGATCCATCAAATAAATTAATTTTGGTCAATTGCAGTGCATTCATATCACAGGACTTCTGTCAGTTTTCAATAGACTGTCAATATAGCGAGGAAAAAGGCAATTTGATTACTTTGTTCAGTGATCTAATTTTGTTAGTCTAGTTTCTAAAGAAGTCACGTACCGGCCCACCCAACGATTGAAAAAATAATTCAATAGAGGACTGAACCACGAACAAGACCAATTATTTAGATCAGCAAAATAACACATTGAGACAAGAGAAATAAATAATAAATTGTATTTTGTCGACCCCAAAATGAGAGCTAAGCATCGGTTTGATAACAGGACAAAACAAAATCGAAATAAACTGATCAAATATTTCAGTTTGAAATGTTACTGTGTAATAATACCGAAACGTTTGTTTTAACGTATGTCGCTGCAATATATTTCCATCGACTTCTTAATTTCTTTTCTCTTCAAAAACAAAAGAGTTTTCTTTACTTCTTGACAAAAAAGAAACAAATGAATAAATCAAATAGGCGAGTTAATTAAAGTTAGAATAAATTGCGCACGCGCATAGAGCCAGTTTGCAAGTACAGTGCAAAATCGTGTCTACAATGAAATGATTCTTCTCTGGACAAACAACGATATGGCACGTTCTATCTCAACGCAGACCCCAGCATTAGCAAAATACTCAAATTAAAGGTCACTCGTGAGAGGGATGGTTTCACGTCTGTGGTTTATTTCCTTTGAAAAGGCCCCGGAATGAGGAAGAGAACTGACCACGTGACGATGTACAAAGCATGCAAGGAGTTGTGGGAAGTTATTTATGCTGAGCTTATTCATGATCAAAGTGCTGTGTATCTTCGTTGCGACTCGTAAGAGGTTAGCGATCGTGGGTTGAAATGGCGCTTGTGGGGTAGCGTTCTGTTCAACAAACAAAGCATGGAGTGCAGAGAGGAGGAGGAAGGTCCTCAACAAAGCCTCATAGCGCAGGAAATTCTGTCTTTACCGGCGCGAGAGGTGCTCAGTTACTGTAAAGTTAGAGACCCGCTTTCACTACGATTGAATATTGTGGGCGCTTTGAAAAACTGGAAAGATGTCGCCGACTCGCTCGGTTATCCTACGGAACAGATCCTTGGTTTATTCGCTCATGACGCTAGACCAGGACTTGTATTGCTAGAAGACTGGATGTACAAAAAAAATGGTCGTTTAGGAGAACTTGTGGATGTATTGACTAACCTCCAACTCTGCGCCTGTCTGGAAGTGATCCACGAGTGTGTAGAAGGTACGTCGCTAATTTTTGTTCCACCAGCGAAGTTCTACTTTAGGAACTTGTGTGTTGTTGTAGACGTTGATTTCTTTACTGAATTCTTTTATAATCAGCCTAGCTTAGGGAGAGTTGTTCGTTAGACTGAACGCCAATCTCTACAGACTACAAGCTTTAGAAATAACTGCGTCAAATCTCGTGCTTCAATCTAGCATTTCGCTCATTAGCGAGTGGGCAGTCGTGCGGCAACCTATCACGCAGATCAATATAAGCTTAAATCTAGAGTCGTCGAGCGTTGTCTATTGAAATTATCCTTCGTCGATCGGTTTGTAGTGTAGTGGTAACCTTGATTGAGGTTTGTCAATTTAAGGAAAGGTTAAAGCGAGATGGCCATAATTCTTGCAAAGCTGGCCAGTAATTGAACCTATTCACCTTCCCACGCGGCGGTATATTTGCAGTGCAGAGTGTACCATACCATATTTTTTAACCGTTTTAGTATTAATAATTAGAGTGTTAATAAACAGTTCTGTACATCACTGAATGAAAAGAAAGGAACGAGTCCCTCAAAACAATTTTTCAGGAGAAACTTAATTTAGGCTTTGTCTGCCGAGTACGTCAGTCACCGACACGGTATGAAAGGTTGAACTAGATCGAAGCTCTTCCGTTCTTGGAAATTCGTTTCATTTCTAACCAACGTGTTGCGAAGTGTTTTGTATTCGACTTTTAGGCTTAGTAGAATTTTAACTCAAGCTAGTTTTGATCAAGTCTCCATGTGAACGGCGAAATCCATTTTCTTGAAAATTCGCCCAGGTACATGTACACACTGTCTTGTACGTGAGAAAAATTTCAAGTTCGCAGTGGTTGTCTAATGCTACAATGTCAAATGAATGACATTGTGGTTTTTAAACAGTAAGGCTCTTTTATCAAATTGCGTGTATTTTTGTTTTTAACAGCTTAATATTACTGAAACTGGCATATGCTCGCTAATCTGCATGTTCTAGATCTTTGAAAACTACATGTGCATGTAGATTGCCATGCACTATTAGTCACGGAAATCATAGCGAGTGTGAGTTAACTTCCGTTTATTGTGAAATCTTTCGTAACATGCAGTTTCACAGCGATGATTTTTTTGTTTGATATTTTTGTGGTGAAATATAATCGGTGATAATTTAGATCCTTTTTTTCTTGCTTGGTCCCTATTTATTTCTTTTTCCATGTTACCTTTAATGGCAAAAATATCGGTGACATGGTTCATTGTTATTGATGCGCCAACCAGAGCGCTATTGGCTGCTGAAACAAAGAGTCATGTTTCATGGTCCAGAAATTTGAATAACAAAACCAGTGTTTGAAAATAAATACAGTTGAACTTCTGTTAAGCTTCCACCTGTTAACATAACTGGCCACCCCTTGTTAAGTGGCCAGTTATCAGAGTCCTGACATTGTTGTCAGTAAAATGCTGTAAATAAAGCTGCTATTATCTGGCCACCTTTATTAGCAGCCGTGGCCACCTTTGGGTTGTCCCGATTAGGGCTTTTATTGTTGTTACCCATATAATTGGTCACTCAGAATACAATACATGCTGTTTGGCTTTGTTTTGGAAAAAGGCAGCAACAAATAAAATTCTGAAATAGAAGGTGACCACTGATAAAAACATTATTGTTGTCTTCATATGATTCTTTATTTATAATGGAATACATGTACATTGACATTTCTGCTAAGCCAAATACTAAGTCCTGACAAAACCCTGTTAAGTGGTCAACCCCTATTAAGCAGCTGCAGCCACCTCCATTTCCCCGATGGTGGCTGCTTAATTGAGATTTAATTGTACATTTTTATCTAACTTGATATAATCACATGCATCTCTTTCTGTGAATGCTGCTGATGTGTCTGAAGGTGTAATGTTGTGTGCTCTGCTGGAAATTGTGAATGCCAGGCCTTTTGAAATGATGGAAAATGCTTCTTGAACTATCAAGCAGTAGAAAATATATCACGTTACATCAACTATTTCCGAGAACAGTGTTTTTGCTCTGGTTGTTTTTGGGTTTAGTTAAGTTTTTTTGCTTTTTTGCTGTATTTAAGAATAAAAGCTTCACAAAAGTTAGACACTCGCTTACCCTATATCTTTCAATTCTCAGTTTTTCTTTATACCTCGAGTTAAAAATGAACAAACATTAAGGCATGGTTATATACAACATTTTTGAGTTGGCACCTTCTTGCAAAAAGTGCCCCTCTCCATTAAATACATGTCCCTTCAACAGGAGCTTTTGTTTTTAATAAAGGCTGCAGCTATTCTAATTAACCATTGCCCCTTTGCAGGAAAGTGCACTTAACAGTTACTGTATTGATATTATACTATCTTCCATATCAGCACCCAGTCTGGTTTATGTGGTGTAGAGTTATGCAGATCTGATTTGGTAGTTTTGTAGTGTTGAAAAATCCAAAGAGTTAGGTATTGTTTTGCAGTTTGCGTTCTTCAAAGAGGTCAAGTTAACTAATTTAAACAGATACGTGCCAGCCATCTATATGTACTACAGAACTTCCCCTTCACCCCCAACCCCCCTCCTTTTGCATTGACCTACCAAAATCAAGTTTAAAAACTGCAGTTGCTATATCAGAGATGCCAACCTAGAAAAATAGAAATCCAGGTGATCTTCAACCTTCTCAACCCTACAAAAAACGGTGTTAAAAGTATAACTCAGCTGTTTCAGCCACAAAAATGCATCAAATATTACAAACTTTTGCCCGAAAATGCCAAAAAATCAGCCAAAATAAGTGCTTTCCTTTGAATTGGGGAGATTTGGTGACCTGTATGGCACACCACAAGATTCGGTCTGTATCTGGGAGAGTTGGCACAGGTCTATGCTATATTCAAATTTTTTGTTTATTACATTTTATTTATTTTCAGAATATGAAACAACATCAGGGAAGGGCAACCTGCCAAGTGAAGGCGATGAGGATGATGACTTCAGTGACGGACAGAGAGACCAAGAAGGATTTGGACATAATTCTAACACTGCTCCATCCAGTATGAGTAGCAATGTCAGTGGGAGTAGCACAAATGTTTCGTCTTCAGACTTTAATACTTTTAACACAGAACAAACAACATCTGTAACTTCAGAATGTTCAACAACTTCAAAGTTACCACATTCTTCACAATATGTTGCAGCTGTGGACAGTAAGGCTTTGGATAATGGAATTGATAAATATTTAGAGACTGGTTCAGCTGACTACAAAGAACTTCAAGGAAAGTGTTTTAGTAGTGGTAACTTGAATGACGGGGGAGATTCTGCTGTGAAAAGACCAGATCTCTTTAGATTTAAGTCGTGGTCACCTAATTATTCTGAAGGAGAAACTGGTGGGAAACTAGATTCTGGCAGAGATGGAAGGAGCTTGATTAACCGTTCTGTTTCCCATGAACCAAACTGCAAAAAATCCAAGGAAGGAAAGTCTCTTCGGAAAAAGTTCATCAGTTTGATTTCCAAGCGTAAACGTCAGAAGAAATCATCTGAACAGTCAAGCAAGGAGGAAAAATCTGGTACAGTTGAAACGTCCATGAATACATCAGGCACAGCCATGAGCTCTTACAGTGAGGCTGCTCCAAAGCCATGTGAAAATTTGTCTCCACTCAATGTCACAGAGGCACGCAAATTGTCACTTACAGATAGTTTGAGCTCTGCAGAATCCATTGCCTCGCCAATATCCCCAGGATATGAATCAGGGTATATGTCATCGGAAGGTAATGCACAATGTACATGTATGATTACTAAATTATTATTGAATCTGTTTTAATAGACAGGACTTTTTTCAAACTTGATGCTAATATTGTTGGGGGCAACAGTGTCTACAGCTGTAATGATTAGTATCCTGGACTCCACATGTTAGAGGAACAAATGTACATGTAGGGTTTGGTGTCTTAGGAAACTGTTGGACTGCATCAGTGGGCATGTGAAACACTTGCAAATAACCTTTTATCAACTGGAAGTTGATATGTAAATTAATCACTGATGTGACTTGGTTAAATTAATTAATTATAATTATTTAATTTATTTATTTATTCAATCATCAGCCCTTTGTGAGACAAAAGTCTTGCTCTGGTGGAGGGTTAATGCTCAAAATGTCTGATTCACTAACTTTGCTACTGACAGCGGTTCATTAAATGCTTTCTCAACTTCATGGAGGTCTGCCTTCAGGACTAACCAGCTGTAATGTGCTCTGGATCAAGATGTTTCATTCTCACATGGCCTCTCTTTAACTCAGAGTACGTTGCATACATGTATGTATACATGTATGTATACGTGTATTATTTAATTAATGGACATACTGTAACCATGTGGCATTTTTATTTTTTTTTGTAACATAGGTCCATCTGTGAGTTCTGGGAAGACAATTTCCATCATTCACTGCTCTGACTTGGAAGGGGAAGCCTTTAGAGAGGAGGTCTTAAAGTTGTACAATCGTTTTGAACGTTCACTGGGCTACAGGTGTCACTTGGACAAGTTAGAACTTATTCAAGTAGCAGAACACAAGTTCCGCTATGCAATAAAAAGTGTCCAGGAGAGCGACTTCTTGTTTATTTGTGTCTCGCCAGAATTGAAAAGAATTTTTGATTCTCCTCCTGAAGAAATCAGCGACAGTCTTGAAGGTTTGTTTGGAGTTGTACTCTCAAAATATTTAATTCCCTCTAGCATTTATGTGTAATCATTATTTTAGCAGGGGTTTTATTAAGGGCTGGCGACTGGGCAAATTGTCTAGTTGTGAGGATGATTTACCAGTCTGGATTGATCATCTAGAGGAAAGTCTTTCTTAAATAGAGAAGTTCAGCTAAAAACAATTTGCCTGCCTGTGAAAACCAGTTGACCTCCTACTGAAAGCAATAAATTAATGATTGAACCAAAGTAAATATTGCATTGGTAGTGTCTGTTTCTTTACATCAGTGGTAACCTTGATATTTTTAAACCCTCAGCTGATGAACAGTGCATGTTGCGACTTGAATCCGATCTGATATTAGCTGATCTTGCTGTCCATGCCAGCAACAGGAAAGGCAAATTCATGACCATCATGCTCAAAGGATCGTCCAAAGGTGATGTGCCATGCTTTTTGAACTTGTTCATGAAGTACCACTGGCCAAAAGATGAACGAAAAATCCGATGCATGATAGAAGGACAGCCAGAGATTGTCCCTGCCCCTGTTGGCAATGTCAAGACTGACCCTCCTTCCCTGGTGGTGAAACCAGCTAAACTGAGCTAAGGTTTGTCATTTAACGTTTGTTAGAGTGTGCCCATGGATTTCCTTGCAGGACTGCATCATTAGTCCTTTTTTGAATATGTTAATGGATCCATGTAATTCAGTGTACATGTGCAGCAGCAACAAGATTTTATAAATCATGTCAGTTCTGGTTTAAGTCACATGGGGAAACAATAAGTGAATGGTACAATTGCCAAAAATCATCAGACAAGTATTAAAAATTGCTTGAAGCTGGCCACATACTGTAACATCTTGGTCATTAATCCATTATTAACATTGGCCGTTATTATCAAGTCCTCAGACCTGTACAGGTATAAAGGTGTTTGAGTGGGCTTATATATGAGAGGATTTATATGAATATCTAGTTAAGACCAAGAGATAGGCTTTGATTTTAATGCAGTGAAACCTGAGACAAACCATTTGTCAGAAATAGAGCAAAAACGTTTGACCAGCCAAGTGGTGTTTAAGTTTTAAAGTGCCCCAAAAGTTGACAAAGGATTGGAATTTCATAAGTTAGTGTACTGTAATTTAGTGAGATAGAAAATGGCCAAAATGGTATCAAAGAGGGACAAACTTGAAATCTTAAGTCTGATTTTGCAAGATAGTTCATTCTTCTTTTAACACTACCTATGGTTTCTGTCCAATGTTCCTGCATGTGGAACTTGATTTTGTTTGTCTCCTTATAGTGGTGAAGTTACATGTAACATGTTACAAGCTATTTCTTCATGCAGAGCTGTCAGTTAATTCCTTACTGAAGTGGAGGGAGGAGCAAATACTATCCACTTACATGTATGGCTGCAATTATCTGGATTGAAACTCAGTTGGTAAAATAACTTAAATAATGTACAAATGCTATAATCATGGTGGCATTTTTAAAACTGATTTCTTATGTGGGGTTTTCTGCAGGAATAATTATATATTACTGACTGTCACAAGGCCCAAGGACACCCAAACCATGAACACTTGACTTTTTTTCATAAAATTTGTTGACTAAGGCAGGGCTGCCATTAGGTTTTGAGTCACCTGTAGCTTTGTTCTCCACACCCATAGCAAACTTGTTTCTTTTTGGATGAATTCTCTCAACAACAGGCAATGTCACTCATAGCGTCAAGGGAAAATCAGCCATTCTCGGCTGTAATAGGTGTTGCGGGTTACTGCCCTCAATGACAGCCCTGTAAAGAATGAAGGCTCTTTGTACAATGAGTAAAAGGCTGCTGATTTCACAGTGTAACAATGCTGAATACTCGTACGATATTAGGATGCAGATCCCTCATTCTTTAGCAGGGGTGGATGCCAGGATTTTTCTTAAGAGGGGTGTACCTCTTAGGAACGGCGTAACTGACTGGTGAGGTAAACACATTTTAAAAGCAAATAATTATGATGAAGAAGGCTTCATCTCAAGGGGGGGAGGGTGGTGCACCCCTTGCACACTCCCCCTAGATCTGCCCCTGTTTAGTCACTGAAAAAATGCGTAAAAAAAGTCAAGTGCTCGTTGTTTGAGGGTCTTCACTGTTATGTCTGTGAATCTCTTTGACTACAAAATCTTCCGTAAAATTAATTTGGCAGGAGATATGGCAAGGATTGACTCACTTTTAAAAGTGCTTGTAGTTGCTGTGTGAGTAGCATTTAAGTTAAGCATTTGTGTAACATTTAGATGCGGGGCTCTTTCTTTAAAGTAGGAAAGCTAAGTGGTATCTTAGGAGTACTGAATTTTAATTTGAAAAAACATTGTACTTACCAATACATTGTAAATACTAGTAGCAATTTCCTGTGTGGCACAGCAACCGAAATCATAAGGGCCAATATATCCTCGCCTGAAACATTTACAGTGACACCAGTTGTTGTTTGCATTTCATGTTCTTTGCTTTTATACATGACCGAACCTTATATTATCAACGGCAAAAATTCTATTCATGTGAGGTCAAGGTGAGCTTAATTTGATATGCAGGTATACCATGTAGTTTAAGCTCCATGTATATTATGAGAGCGCTGCAGCTTTTATACAAACTCTTGCCTTGTCATTTCTTTTCCAGCAGTTTTTTTTATGCCTTTTTGAAAGTATGTAGTTTTATTTACTTTAATTTCCAACTATAGCATTGTGCACTCTTAACCCCACCACCCCCGCCCCCCCCTGCTCCACACACACAGGGTGCAGGTCAAAAAAAAAAAAACCTAGTTATTTTCTGAATGAGTTGACGTTGTCTCAATGTATCTCTTTGACATACTGTGGCATGTCAAGGGAACTGGTTGGTTCTCTATCAGGTCATGTCACAGCAAGATGACAATCCAGATCGGATTAATTTTATAAATTTCTTTATGCCAATTTCTGCCTTTTTCCCAGCTTGCTGGAAAGTTTTCTTTAGCTTTGTTGTGTTGAAGCAACAACCTCATAGGAGTGATTCACATTTTCCAAATGTCGGTTGCAAATGGTCTAGCTGTTTGAATCACACTAGGGGTCGAATTTTCGTGATGTTATAGGTGTACAACGCTATTTTAAAACCTTCTTACTCTAGATCTAAAGAGGACTAAAGTTCAAACCTTGTTCTGTGAACACCAATCAGAAAAACACTAACTTGTCTCCATGTCTTTCTCATGGACACAATTTTGTAGGACTAGAATCAATATGAATATGAACATGTTGGTTAAGGGAGACTTCCACTGTCACTGACTCAGAATTTTGTTTAAATCAAGTGGAGAAAATGTTTGAACAGCTGGCCTCTTTGAAGGAGGTTAAAGTGGGTTAATTTTGTTTGCAAATGCAAATTGTTCATGCATTTTCTCTTTTTTAATTTACGCTCAACGCTTCCAGTGAAAGCAATGCATCATTCAGCTATGATTGTATCATACACAACTTTGCCATAATTTTTGACGAAAACCAGTGGTCGTTTATATATCCTTGATGTCACTGTTCAAAAGATGTTGTTTTGCAAGACATATACAATATTCAATGGTTTGATCATGAATACATGTGCATTTGCACATTCTTGTGGATTTTATGAGCTGGTAGTGTACTTAGGTCTTGTCAACCTTGGATACTATAGGGTGTAGAGTCTGAAAGAGGGCTGTCCAAACGGCTGGGGATGGAGGTGCCACGCCCCTCTCAGAAGGTGTAGCACTAAACAGGATTGGCTGAGAAAATAATAGAAACATACAACAGAAACAGTGAACTGAAACACAATAGAAGTGTATGAAACAGGGAACCAATGAAATTACAGGTTCTGAAGAGGTGCGTGGCTTCTGGGGGATTAGATAGGTTGAGGGAAAAACGACCAGTTGTTTTTGAGTAGCAGCAGAATGCCTGCTGCGAGACAGTAATTTAATGTTATTTTGCATTTAACACTAGTCAGGGGGTGTTAAAACTTGTGGAGATCTCGGATCGATGTCTGACCTCCCCTAACCTTCTTATGACACATTAATGAGAATCCAAGGTTTAATCATCTTGACCAAAATAGGAATTTGCCCAAGGAAAATTTCTATAATTTTAGTGAGGAAAGCAAGTAGGGGAATTTTAGTGCTAAACATTTTGAGTGTAAATATAGTAGGGCTTGATTATTTTCACAATGTAACTATGATCAATAATAAATGCGAATCAACAGATCTTGGTTATTCCTGTGTGTGAATTTGTACACCTCTCAAAACCACTCTTTACTTTCACAATCATGCTCCTCTCTTGGCTCGTGTGATCCTTCGAATTGAAACGAACAATACCTCGCGCATCACAACGGAAATGTTTGGTTTGCGACACTGACAATACTGAAGAGAGTTTGTTTTTCAATGCTCGTTTTATTTCTCACTACATCAAGACCTAAGTGTGTGCTCGTTACAAGCAGATCATACAACTCTTAAAGTTAAATATTCTACACTACTTAATATTAAACATAACCGATCGTCCGGCCTGGTTCATTAATCTGTGAATGTCCACACAAGTTTTATTGAAACTGTCGTGTCGTGTTTCTTCTATTAGTGAAGTGCAACTTTACTGTGTTGTGTTACGATTATGTAGTGTGACTAAACTATAATTTCTACTAGTTTGTTGTGTCAATTTGCGATCATATTCTCTGAAAGAACAGTCTCGTAGAAAAGATTTCCCAAACGAATTTCTTGGCAGATTCTCTCCAAAAAGGATAGGTTACAAAAGTGATAGACAACTACCCTCGAAAGATAATCGTCTGCCCTCGAAACAAGCTCCTGAGTAGAACACACTTA